TGCTGTATTATTCAATCCTTATTTTACTTTGCATTTATTTGTCTGGTTGTCTGCAAATCTCTCCCTCTCTCTCCATCCAAGTAGTTGCTATGAAAAGCCATCAGGTGTTAAGCCATCTTTTCCCTCAAATTTGGAGAAAGCAGCTCATCCGTGGCATCTTAAAAAAAAAAAAAAAATGAAAATCAGCTTTTGCAGTGGCTTGAAGTATGCAGCCGCTGAGCCAAAAGTGACAATATCATGAAAACACAGAGCCTATCTCGGTGCAGGCAAATCCCACGGGTGAGATGCTTTTTGTTAACTGGAGCTTAATTTTTCTTGCAACCACAGCTATATCTATAGCTAATGTTATTTGACACACTATTTTACAGTGTATTAGCATTGTAAATGTTAATGTAAATTGTCAGTGTTTTAAGTGTTTTAATTACTTTAAATGCTTGAAATCACAGTAAACCGCTCAGAAGAATGCATGAACACTAATAGGACAGGTTGGAAAGTTTTCTTTTTCTCAAGAAACAGGTTACGAATGTTGCAGAAGCTGAGAGGTGTCAGCTGTGGGGGCGAAACTGGGCTCAGCTCAATGAAGCCAGCTGTCACTGAGGTTTCTTTATTGGAAAGCAAGCTGCATTGGCATCAGGGGCATTTATGTCCCGTACCTCTGAATAATTTAGGCACCAAGCAATGTCCATGTTGTTCCCCTATGCTGCATTTGGCCTCCTTCCAGAACATTGCTTTTGATACATATCATTTGCCGTGTTGGAAGCTTGGTTTTGATTATTGTTGGAATTTGATCCTCTCTGAAATGGATTCACATACCATCTCCAGGGCTTTTATACCAGAAAGAGTAGGGTAGACCTTCTAGTGATGCTCTTAGGCAATTTTTGATTCTAGACATAATGGGTGTACCGGAATAGGTGGCACTTTTGATCATATGTATTATTTGATTTCTCACTGTACTGAAGCCCCCCCCCCCTTTATTTTACTGAGTGCAGCTCCAGACTTTTGCCTTCGAGACCAGCCTTGAAGGTGCCATCCAGATTTTATTTAAATGTCTTCTCCTGTCTCTGGTTGAAGAGAAAAAGAGACAGCTCAGCTGTGTATTAGGTGGTGCGGGCGAAAGACGACGGGAGTTATGCAACTTAAATGCAATTTGGAAGAGGGATTTTTTAAAATACAACTTTCAAAGGTAGAATAGCTTTCTTTTTGTTTTGCATTTTAGCATCTCACATGAGAAAACACATACCTTACATTTATTTATTTAGAACAATGTTTCTCAACCTTGGCACCTTTAAAATGTTTGGACTTCAACTCCCAGGATTCCCCAGCCAGCCATGCTGGCTGGGGAATTCTGGGTGTTGAAGTCCACACATTTTAAAGTCATAAAGGTTAGAAACACTGACTTAAAAGATGGATGTAGCTGCCCAACTCACATAATCATAACTCCAAGTGGTATGCATCAAATAACACCCCCCCAACAATATCATAAAAACTTTATCAACCAAAAACGAAGAGCAAAAGCTGAGACCAGGAGGACTTCCAAATTGTGTGCTGGTTCTGAATAGGGGAGTGGAACCCCTACAGAACCAATGGTGATAAATCTCCAGTTCCAAGTTCAGAAATGCCCCCAATTCAAGCCATTCAATTCAGTTCATGCCTGCTCCAGGACCCCATAGACTCCAGACACTGGGAAATGACTCTGACAGGATCACCTGGCCTGCATGGGGTGGAGATATGCAACTCAGCATCATCAGCATAGATGAGGAAGGAATTTAGTTCTGCCTTGAGGAGGTGGAAGAGGGAAAACAGTAACTCAGCCCTGAGAAAGTAGAAAACATGAGAAAGAGACTCAGAACAGCCCCACCTTGACCTCCTTGTCCTTAAACAGGGCAGTGATGATTTTGGACAGGTTTTCCAGTTGTAATGTATCCTACAACAATAGAATAGCATTCCTGGAGTCCCCATGTGTCTGTTTCTTGACCTGGCCTACCTTGAAAGGCTGACAATGCTGATGATACTTCACTCAGTGCCAGCTGATGACCTCACCCAGCAACTTCATATAGATGTTAGCGTGAAGAGGGTAGAACCTTGAGGCACCTGGAAAGCAAAGTCTAGAGTAGATCTTTCCCCCAACAACACTGATTGGAACCAATGCTGGAGGAAGGAGGAAAACCCTAACCTGCTTCTGCATAACCACTCTGTCTTCCCTTCCCTTCCCTTCCCTTCCCTTCCCTTCCCTTCCCTTCCCTTCCCTTCCC